TATAGTTGGTACGGTTGTTTTGGGTAAAACCCCTTGAACAAAAATTGACAATGTGAGTCGTTGTAATAGGTAACAGTATTTAAACAAATAGAAGATCAATCTAATATATTAAAATAGTAATTAATAAATTAATTTTTCAAGATGTGTATATTATTTATTAGCAAGATATACGTGTATATATATATATATATATATATATATATATATTAATTTGAAATTTAAATAATATTATTAAATTTTAAAATGTAATAAATTATTATTTATTAACTAATTACACTTGTACATTTTAGCACCATTTCAGTGTCATGTGCCCTTATCCAAAGTGACTTTAAAAAAAAATTACGTGGTATTAGATGACGGTATATTGATTAGTAACACATTTGTATCAAAATGGAAATAAATTTTTAAAATAGCCTCATTTTTATAATAATTTTAATATTGACTCTAGTTGGGTCAAAAATTCGTGATTTGAGAGTTAAACATAAATTATGGATATCTACTAAACCAAAATAAATTATGGTACATTATTTTTTAACCTACACTATTATGTTTTATTTGTTTACTTTTTTGATTTATTGTGCTTCATACTTAAATTTTCATTAAATAAATTTAAAATTTTTCTCTTCATCTATTTTTACAATTATATTCTTCATAACTAAAGAAAATTATTTTGCTATTTTTTTATAATTCAATTCACTTTTTTTTAGCACTTAAATTAACAATTCGCAATCTTTAAGCCACTCCCCTAAATATTGAATGATCACAAAATTTTAAACTGCAAGTTTTGTATTCACAAATGGATGAAAAACTTTAAAATGATGCTTTTCATTAACACATTAACTACGTTTTTTTCCTAACACAACAATTAAATATGAGTAATTTATTTTTCAAAAGACTTATTATCACAATTTTTTTTTTGATTACATAAGAGTTAAAGCAGAAAGAAACAAAAGCCAGAAAAAATAGAAAACAGAAACATAATTCTCCTAGCTAGCTATTTTTAGCCGAACTTTCTACGAAACACACATGTCCATGTAGCATTCTTCATGAGTAGTTCTTCCATATCCACATGGGCTTCTTCCAAGATTACCAAACCTTCAGATGATACTGCACCTTCAGATGTTTTATATTTATTTATTATCACAAATTGTTCAATCTTATTAAATTTTCTTAAATTACTATAATTTTATAGTCATTAGCTATGTATTTAGTGTAGTTGAAATATCAAAGAAATATAAGAAAGAAACAATGAAATAAATGAGATCTGGAAACCTCCCTGCACCTGCTACAAAATTAGCGATTGTAGCGGTTCCTCAACGAACTTCAATGACAGCGTCACCTGCTGCAGCGCGGGAAGCTCGAATAGCGCAAACGGAACGACGCAGTTTAGCCTGTTGGAGCTCAAATCTAGAACTTGCAAATAGTTTAACCTTTTTAGAGGTGGAAAGCATCTTGGAAGACTCGGGAAATTCAACTTTTGCTGTGGGTAACTCTGCATTGGCCTGTAACAGAGGTAGGCTCTTTCCTTTGAGTGCATGCGTTGTTGACTACTTTGCTTCCTTTTTGATATACACGTGTTCGAGAGGACATGGGTAAGACACTGTTTTCCTAATTATTGGTGTACCAATTTTAATATAAATAAATAAAAAAAGTTATTTTAATTCAGGTTCATATTTTATGAATATAATATATAGCACATCATAAATATCGGTGGCACTATTTTCCTAATTATTGGTGTACCAATTTTTGTTACCAAGATAAAATGTATGGTTACCTTGAAAAGCCAACAGCAATTTAACAAAATGAAATATGATAACTAATTTTGATTCAAGAACAATATTATTAGTAGTGATGATAATATATTAATTATTATATATGTTTAAATTTTCTTTCCAAAATTATTGACTTTAACTGGTTTGCGATTTTGGCTAAGACACTTTTTTTAATATTTATTATTATTACTACTTTTTAATTAAAAAAATTTATTTTTCTCTTAAACAAGTCACTTTTTAAAATTTATTTTTTAATATTTATTATTATTACTACTATCATTAACTAGTTGATTATAATCACTTTAATTGTCAAAAAATTATTTTAAAATTTCTACTTTAATTTTATCTTATGGCAGGTTGATATTGTTGAACTTGCAACTACTATTGAAAAGATTGAAGGCCTTATTGTACTTGTTGAAAGTTTTTCCTTTACAGATTTAAAATATTAAGGTAAGTCTTTAAAGAATTTTCTTTTTTATTTTATTATTTGATGTATGAAAAGTATAGATAAACAATAATTTTTTTAAAACCATGCATTTATGTGATTAGATGTTAACATTGATGTAAATATTATCAATGACTAATATGATAGATCAAGAAAAAATGGATCGAAAATGGATGTCTGCTAGTCGATTGTCAAAAGAATATGAAGATGGGGTGAAAGAGTTTCGTAGATTTGCAGTTGAGCATGCAAAAGATCCTAGTAGAATTATTTGCCCTTGCTTGAAGTGCTGTCATTCAAAGGTAGTTAATGCGGATGTGTTGGAAGAACATTTAGTATGTTTCTTACTTTTCTTTTATTTTCTCCTCTTCTATTTAATTTTGAATATTAATAACTTTTTGTATTGTTGAAATTTAAAAATTATTTAAGTTATTAATTATATTTAATTTAAAAATTGTTAAATATTAAAAATTGATTATTATTTACATTTGTAAAGTTATATATATATATATATATATATATATATATATATATATATATACAAACAAAGTTCTCAAAATTCAGTACATCAATTCAAGCCAAAGAAAAATAAACCAAGCTATTACAAAGGCGGCCTAGGCTGAACTAAGTATTTGTAGGTTGTTTAACTTATCTTAGACTAGTTTTGGGAGATGCATTTTAGGAATTGTTACGAATAAAATAGCTAAAACTAATTTAAATTTTCCTAAATTTCTATAATTAAGATATTTTATTAATTATTGGAGAATTTTCATTAATTTTTATATACCAATTAAACCTAAGTGTAAAAATATAATTTCATATCAAATGTCCTGGCAAAATTCCAAAAAAAAGTTGCCTAAGAAACTTATAAGGATATCATTAACCTATAATAAATTCAGGTTGTAATAAGTTGATTTGATATAGTTTTGAAATTTTTAAGTTTATTAAACTTTAGAAAATGGTACGGATATTTTGGTAAATATATCTCTTTTTCAACATGAAGGTCATTCTCAGAAGGAGATAGTCCTGACGATGTCCTCAGACTTTTCCTGCTGGTGCTGAGTCTAGGAGAAACACTAGGAGTTGGGGATTTAAGGACTGGGGATAAATCACGCTGAACTATACTGAGGCCTGCTGGTGAGACACAATTCATTGCAGCACTAGGAGAATCAGTGGACACATCTGGGGCTGAAAAACCTGCAAAACACAGGGTAAGACTTTTTTCATTCAGAACTTTATTAGCAATAATTATTTTAAAAATAAAAAATTTAGATTTGTTGATTCACTTTATTTTTTTTAGTATGAGGAAGGCTGCTTCTCGTGAATATTCCAGTGACAACTATTTATACTGCCCTCGGGCTGTAGATCTACAGTACAAGGATTTAAGGCATTTTCAGTGGCATTGGGAAAAGGGGGAGCCTGTTGTTGTCAGCAATGTGCTTGAATGTACATCTGGTTTAAGCTGGGAACCACTTGTCATGTGGCGTGCATGCCGTCAGATGATTAATACCAAGCGTGAACAACATTTGGATGTCAAGGCCATTGATTGCTTAGATTGGTGTGAGGTTAGTTGAATTTCTCAATCTTGAACTTGGGTGGATTTTTGCACTAATTCCATTGTTCACCTTCATTCACGAAACTTATGTTTAAATTATTTAATATTGAATATTGATACTTATTTTAACTGGAACCACTGGGCTTGAAAATGGCATTTAGAGAATAGTTTAATTGTAGCAATTTTATGTTACTGAATATCCCACATGTTTTCTGAATATGGTAAGTTGACGGCTATTTGAATTGAGAATTGTTTCAGTGCATTTAATGTTGTCAGTTAGTGAATTCCATGGAGTTGTCAGAACTGAATGTCTCAGTGCTTCTTAAACTTGACTGATGTTGGAGAAAATGTACTTTTTTTGGTTACACCCCTACCTAAAATCATAAAATACTTGGCATTTATAGACATCCTTGGCAAACAAGGACACAACATATCTACAATACTTGGCATTTATAGACATCCTTGGCAACCCTCGACTCAAATCAACTCATTTACACCCCTACCTAAAATCATAAAAAGCAATTTTATGTTACTGAATATCCCACATGTTTTCTGAATATGGTAAGTTGACGGCTATTTGAATTGAGAATTGTTTCAGTGCATTTAATGTTGTCAGTTAGTGAATTCCATGGAGTTGTCAGAACTGAATGTCTCAGTGCTTCTTAAACTTGACTGATGTTGGAGAAAATGTACTTTTTTTGGTTTTCATGCTAATGTTGAAAACATTTTAAATTATATTCAACTCGTATTCGTTCTGTTTTTATGTTTTGTAATTGGAATAGAGTAAATTGTCTGCTTTATTTTACTGATTTCAGTAAATCTTTACTGCTTTTGCTTGACATGTCTATTATTCTTTTGCTGCTGATTTCAGCATATTTTTTTTTATTTGAGGAGTTGGTTAAATGCAGGGAGAAATTAATATCCACCAATTTTTCACTGGGTATACAAAAGGTCGTAAGGATTGGCTCAATTGGCCTCAGATATTGAAGTTAAAAGATTGGCCTCCTTCTAATTTATTTGAAGAACGTTTGCCTCGCCACTGTGCTGAGTTCATATCTTCCTTGCCCTTCAAGGAATATACTGATCCTCATGTAGGTTCTCTTAACCTTGCTGTGAAGTTGCCTAAAAGTTGTATAAAGCCAGACATGGGGCCAAAGACATATATTGCTTATGGATTTCCTCAGGAGCTTGGACGTGGTGATTCAGTGACTAAGCTCCATTGTGATATGTCTGATGCAGTATGCTCTGTTTCCTTTTTTTCCCTGGCCTATTATTTTCGGAGGACATTTTAGAATTATTTAAACATTTTAGGTTGTTATTTTTACATTGAGTTTCATATTGGAAGGTGCACAATTTGTAGAATGTATAAATTGTTGTCTTTGATAAGCCATTGCATTTCTCTGTTATGCTTCTTAGGAGCATATTTTTGCTTCAATCGAATCAATTCCATGTTAATAGTTTTTCTGTTCTGTGCATTTTCTTCAGTCCATAAACTCCCATTTGATTCTATATTTAATGACTTATTGCCCTGGTTGTTTTAATGATTGATTGATTATTAGAAAAAGTAATCTAGGCATGTTATGATTGGTGGAATCATTTCATTAGTATTTTTAAGGACTTGAAATGAATGGTGGCCATGCGTGTGTATATATAATATATTTTCTCCTTTAATATTGTATGTTCTAATAATTTAATTTTCATAATTAATAGTGATTCCACGTAATATAGTGACGATCGTTAAAAAAAAAAGGACTAATTTAGTTGTAAGAATTCTACATTATTTAATTCACGTGTCCGATAATATATATAATATCATATGTTGTATTGATTGTTTGATATTCAAGTAATGAAACTATTATATTATTTTAACATAAGAAAAGCTAATACGTAATATTTAGAAATTTAAGTCTAAGTATATGGACAAACTTGTCGAAATAAAGCGACAATTTTGTTTTGGTTCAAGAAGAATAGTGGTTGCTCATACGTGATTTTATCTCGACTATTACACTATGCACGTTCTCTGAGCTTGATCTTAGTTTATGATACCTTGTATATTGTGTCCTTTTCCAAAAAGCTTCGCTAGCTGTTAAAAGTCGTGCAACCTGGGAAAAAAAACGATGTTAGTCACTTGCATTAACCCAACAAAGAACCAAAAAATACCCACTTGGCTGCTATACTTTTTACTAACAAGAAGACAAACTTCTATTATTCTAAATACTAAAATGAATCCTTGTGGAGTAGTGCTAAAATACAATTACTAAATAGTATGGTTAGGGGAAACCAACCTCGAAAACTTGGGCTAAACAATCACTTTTATCTTCCAAACAGTGGTAAGCACTACGATGATCTATGTTAAATAAATATCTAAATTTAATTCTTATTATTTTATCCTCTGAACTAATGTGTTGTTTTACACTTTCATAACTTATTTAATATTTTCTTGATTTTAAGAATTAATATGACATCTTCCAAATTTAGAGATTAAAATAACTGTATATTCATGTTGGTACCGGAAAATGAATTCGGAGGCACTCGAAATACAGAGGTGATCAAAAATCCTAAGTGATCGGAAAATGGCAAAGAAGTTTCTGAAGAAGGCATACGAAGCCTGAATAGAATCAAGAGATACACGAAGACACTTTTCGTGAAACTTCCGAAATCATTGAACTAGGAAGGACATGAAGACACTTTTCGTGAAACTCTCGAAATCATTGAACTAGGAAGGACACGAAGACACTTTTCGTGAAACGCTTGAAATCATTGAACTAGGAAGGACACGAAGACACTTTTCGCGAAACTCTCGAAATCATTGAACTAGGAAGGACACGAAGACACTTTTCGTGAAACTCTCGAAATCATTAAACTAGGAAGGACGCTGCTCAGGAGAAAGGCTCACAGCCTCGCAACCTCTCAAAGTACAAGAAAAATCAGGAAACACTCGAGTAGTATATTTTTCGTTGGTTACTCGAAATCCCAAGAATCCGGACATACACGAACACACTTCGCAACCTCTCGGAATGAAGAACTTAAAGGAGACACGATTTAAGAGCGGTTGAAGTAAATCATGGGATAAGTGTCAAAGGCTGCAGAACGGTTTGGGGAAGTTAATGAGCAGTTCCAAGAGTTATCCAAAGACGTGCCCGGGAATAAGCCACGAGGTCGAGGTGGAAGTTTAGAACGGTTATGCACTTCCGGGGCACGTCAGAAACAGTTACCTTTCCCAAATCTTTGTCTATAAATTAAACGAGCCATGCTCGTAGCAGGAGGTCGAAAATCTAATTCCCACAATACCTCACATGCACTCCGCAGCCTGTGCATAAGGCATACTGTGCGTACGAGACAGCTTTGGGTACGATTTCTCGACCACCTTTCTTTTTCCTTTTTTAGGAGTAGCATAGCATAGCGTAGCATAGCATAATCTAGTCTAGTGTAGTGTAGTCATTCTAAACACGTTTCGTTATCCTTACGAATTGTAATTCTGTTACCATTTAATGAAAACTCTATTTCTTACTTGTACGATTTTATTTTTTCACTGAAAGTCTTCAATTCTGTCATGTCACGAACACGCATAAATTGAAACGTGAAATCGTGCTAGTTCGAATAAAAAGGATCCATAAAACGAAATCCACCGTAAACAAATTGGCACGCCCAGTGGGACTCGTTTGGTGAACTTCATTGAACTAATTGAACTAGTTTTGTGTGTGCTTCTATTTTTATGAGACTTAGAAGTGGGACAACTATGTCTACATCCAGCAGAAGAGATGCGCTTAATGAAGAACAGGGTAATGGAGAAAATCGGAATACAAATCAAGAAAATGTGCCTAATGAAGCCAGGGGGGCAATGTCTCCACCTCCTGTAAATATTCCGAACTCCGCGGGATTTCTGAATGCGTCACAAGAAATGGTGAACGCTACCCGCGAACATCCATGGGGAATGCCTCCGAATTGGAGAAGTACCCAGCCCATAAGCGTAGAAATGCCAATACCATATTCTGGGCACAATCCTCAAATGCAAATATCATCATATGGGTATAATGCAGTCCCAAATGGAATGAGCTTTATCATGCACGATCCTCACCAGCATGTTGGCACAAGCCAAGAAGGGTCATTGGTTCGACAAAGTAATTATATACCCACGGGTATAAGCAATGAAGCCATGATAGCCCTTCGACAACAAATGGATCATAGTAACCACGATATGGTAAATTTGTTGTCTACACAAATGCACAACATACTCACACCCCTATACGAGCTGATGAGCAAAATAGGAGATAAAATTAATGATAATCGACTCTCGAGAGATACGAGTGTAAATCTGAACGGCCTCGAAAATCCAACCATCAATGAGATGAATATTCGAGAAATTAGAAATCGTATCAATCTCAATCAAGGGGGACCTCTGAGAAATGTCGAGGAAAATTTGGATCATATAGTCGAGAAGGTACTGAATAAGCACGGATTTGAAACGGGGCGAAATGAGCACCCTTACTTTGTATCTGCCTTTCCTGACTATATTACCCAATCTGAGCTACCCAGGGGGATGAAAGTCCCGAAATTCTCAAAATTCGCAGGAGAGTTAGGTGAATCCACCGTAGAACACATAGCCAGATATCTAGTCGAGTGTGGAGACCTAGTGGGTAATGAATATTTGAAAATGAAATATTTTCCAAGTTCACTAACCAAACATGCTTTTACGTGGTTTACGACTTTGCCATCTAATTCGATTATTACTTGGGCACAATTGGAAAGGAGTTTCCACGAAAACTTTTTTCGAGAGGAAATCAAGGTGAGCATAGTTGATTTGATGAATATGAAGAGGCAACATCATGAGACATTGGACGAATATTTGAATAGATTTAGGAAACTAAAGTCTCGATGTTACACGAATATTCCTGAGCATGAGTTGGTAAAAATTGCCGCCACTGGGTTAGATTTTTCGATTCGAAAGAAACTTATAAATGAACAATTAAGAGATATGGCTCAACTAGCAGAGAAAGTGAGACGAATTGAACAAATGCGAGCAGAGAAAGAAAGGTTGAGAAAATTGACAAGTTTGTTCGAAGAGAAAAAGTAGCATATTTAGACAATATGGACGTTAACGATGATAATTTCGAATCTCTAAATGAAGAAATGGAAGTGAACTTAGCCGAATTGCAACCTGGGCCAACCTATCAATGCCAATTATTAAAACCTGGGGAAAATGATATAGAGGCCGGATCAAATAGAAAATATAGTTTCGATATAACAAAAGTCGATAGAATATTCGATATTTCCCTGAAAGATAAGCAAATCATATTTCCAGAAAATCATAAAATTCCTCATTTTGAAAAAAAAAAAAAAATTTGTATCACAACACAACATGTATGGTCATTGAACTAACAATTGTGTACGTTTCAGGGATATGGTCGAGAAAGCGATTACTGATGGTCGCTTGGCTTTCGAGGAGAAGAAAATGAAAATTGATACTGATCCATTCGCTACACAAGCAGGATATGTGGAACCTCTCTCTATGGGGATCAATGTAATGTGCTTGAAATCGATATGGCTGACCTGGTTGCGAACGAAGAGGAAGTTGTCGAACTTATTACGGATGAAAAAACTGGAAGAGCTCTTAGATGAGTTCGCGAAAGAGCAGGAACCTATGTATCCGAAAGAGAGGGACAGTTTGCTCGATTTTCTTTCGAGGAAGAAAGATGATGATCGGGAAGTTATGCTTTATCCGAGATGTAGCGTTATGTTTGACAGATCAGCAACTAAGGCTTTCGAGGAGTCTGAAATTATGAAATTATAAAGCTGAGAAGGCTCGAGGAAAATCGAAAGTCAACAAAACATACCTCAGGACGTTCAGGAGAAGTTGATTCACGAATTTCGATAACATCCCGAGAAAATGGAGCAGCTGGTACGAAAATGAGAAATTCAGAATTAAAAGATGTCAGGGGCATTTAATTCTCGCGAAGAGTACAACGCTCTAGGGTCTTATCAGAGAAAGAGAGTTGAGGCGTTGAAAAACATTCTTTCTCAGTTACTTCGAAACAAATGTTTTCCAGGGGGGCATTTGTTGGTACCGGAAAATGAATTCGGAGGCACTCGAAATACAGAGGTGCTTTAAATCCTAGGTGATCGGAAAATGGCAAAGAAGTTTCTGAGGAAGGACACGAAGACACTTTTCGTGAAACTCTCGAAATCATTGTACCAGGAAGGACACGAAGACACTTTTCGAGAAACTCTCGAAATCATTGTACCAGGAAGGACACGAAGACACTTTTCGAGAAACTCTCGAAATCATTGTACCAGGAAGGACACGAAGACACTTTTCGAGAAACTCTCGAAATTATTGAACTAGGAAGGACGCTGCTCAAGAGAAAGGCTCACAGCCTCGCAACCTCTCAAAGTACAAGAAAAATCAGGAAACACTCGAGTAGTATATTTTTCGTTGGTTACTCGAAATCCCAAGAATCTGGACATACACGAACACACTTCGCAACCTCTCGGAATGAAGAACTTAAAGGAGACACGATTTAAGAGTGGCTAAAGTAAATCATGGGATAAGTGTCAAAGGCTGCAGAACGGTTTGGGGAAGTTAATGAGCAGTTCCAAGAGTTATCCAAAGACGTGCCCGGGAATAAGCCACGAGGTCGAGGTGGAAGTTTAGAACGGTTATGCACTTCCGGGGCACGTCAGAAACAGTTACCTTTCCCAAATCTTTGTCTATAAATTAAACGAGCCATGCTCGTAGCAGGAGGTCGAAAATCTAATTCCCACAATACCTCACATGCACTCCGCAGCCTGTGCATAAGGCATACTGTGCGTACGAGACAGCTTTGGGTACGATTTCTCGACCACCTTTCTTTTTCCTTTTTTAGGAGTAGCATAGCATAGCATAATCTAGCCTAGTGTAGTGTAGTCATTCTAAACACGTTTCGTTATCCTTACGAATTGTAATTCTGTTACCATTTAATGAAAACTCTATTTCTTACTTGTACGATTATATTTTTTCACTGAAAGTCTTTAATTCTGTCATGTCACGAGCACGCATAAATTGAAACGTGAAATCGTGCTATTTCGAATAAAAAGGATCCATAAAACGAAATCCACCGTAAACAACTCGTTACTCGTAAACTTATTTTTAGTTGAGTTTATTTTATTTTATTTATCTCATTTCACTATTTCTCTATAAGGTAAAGGGATATACAGGGCTCCTTAATCCATTAAATCGGTTGATTTGATCTATAGGCATTTCAGCCATAAAATGCACTTGTCTACCAAATTAAAGTATAGTGTCGCAATACAGTGCTTTATCAGATGTCGTTCTTTTTTTTTTTTTTTTTTTTTTTTTTTTTTTTTTTTTATATGGGTGGTTTTATTAAAATGGGTAGATTTGAAGAGAGTAAAAAAAAAAACCAAATTGAGGTAATTCATATCTCTGAAATACAACTTTTTAATTGTCAGTAATATGTAGTTTTACGACTTTTAAATTTTTTTTTTTTATAAAAGCCGTGTTCTGTTTTTGGACGCATACAAAGTTGGAAAGAGTCATATTACTTTACCTGTTTTTTAACATTATAAATCAAAACAAAAATTAAATTTTAGAAAATAATTTCTTTTAATAAAAGTCTTGAAAGCAAATATAACTCCTGTTTATTTTTTCTTTATAAATTCATGAATAACAACACGACTTTTTTTTACAGATATAAAAGTTGCAAGTCTAAATATCACATACAACTTATATATTTTTTTAATCAATAAAAAATTATAATGACACAGATCCAACCTAAGTCTTGACACACGATAGTATCACAACCCAACCTTTCTCTTCCTAGTAGAACATTCCTAGTATCAACTTTGGTTTATAATCCTATGCTAAAAAGAAGCAAAAACTAAATTCATAATGCAAAAAAAGAAGAAGTTAAATTTAACATTTTTAGAATATTTAAAATAAATTAAAATTGAAATCATAAAATAAACTTTTAAAATAAAATATTTAAATAAATAAACTACGAAACATTTTTTATTTATTTATAAAAGTCATATAATGAATCACAACTTTAAACATATAAATTTTTTAAAACAATAACAAAGGTCGAGTTTTATTTCACAACTCCAATATATAAAATTAAATAATAAAAAATTAAGGTTGTTCCAAATTCACGAGTTCACTAAAAAGAAACAAGTAACAACAATCATTTCTATTTTCACGACTTGTACTAAAAAATAATAATATTTGAAGTTTAATTCGTTTTTCAGTTTAAAAAATTCTTAAAAAAAGGTAAATTATGACTATACGCAAATTGCAACTTCGTAGGGAAGTCGTATAACTAAACAAGAATTTCATTAAAAAAAATTAATAAATTTTAAAGTCTCTTAACAATATACAACTTCCAATTTACTAAAAGTCATGTTCAGAGACAACTTCCCACAATTGAGGTTTTTTTTTTTTTTTTTTTTTTTTTCTTTCAAAATCTACCCACTTTAATATTTAAAAAAGAAATACCTCTCTGGCTCAAATATAAAATTTAGCCCTGCAGTTGCTCATTCCCTGTGGGGCAGAGCCGGGGCAACAAAGGATCATGACTACCGACAATCCAGGTCCAGCATACAGTTTATGAGTTTCGAGTGTAGAATAACTTGATCAATATTGTCCACACAAATTAATTTTTTTTTTCGTGTAGATTGCCATGGATCTTGCCACTTGTAGTGTATAACAACTAACAAATCATTGAGAAAGATGTGTGAGAATGATGTTATAATCAACAATCAATATGATTGTGAAATCCAGACTTATCTTCGGGTGATTATATTAGGATGTTCAATGTTACTATATAAGCTAGTTTTTCTGCACGCCACGAAGTACAAACCTTGATACTAAAAACAAAAACCAAACGGAATTTACAGTATTGGGTTTGGTCCGTGTAAAATTGTAAACTTTTCCGAAGGCTAGTGTTATTCCCTAAACTAAGGACGGGAGTAAGGAACCAGACAATCTCTTCTTCCTCCGAATATTCATTCATAAAAAAAAGCAGTACCAACTGCACCAATTTTCCATACATCGACAGATATTGGAACATTAAATGACAACTTAATTGAAGAAAAATATATGTTTGTATTTACAATTGATAACAAGACATTGGGTATATAAAATGAACTAAAAGGCAGGTAGGGACAGATCAAAAAAACACTCTAACACTTGCTAACAGGACTCGCAAGATTGTTAATTTGCATATCCTGTTCACCATGCCGTGTAATTAAAATCGTTTTTGCTATCCATTACTCTAGGGGTAAAAGACGTTAAGGAATTACAGCATAGAAGGCTTTTATTGGAAAATGCAGTGTAAATGCCTTTGTAACATTAAATGTTACACTTTCCAATAAAACTTTCTACTTTTGATTATCATTGTCCTTAGGACAATGGTTTGTAAAATTGAAGTAAAATAAAATTACAATTTCTTCCTTTCTATCTTAGGGTATGCAACAGTGATGATGTAGCTCAACCATCAACGTGTAAAAGAAGAGTTGCAAGCTCAATACCTTAGTTAACCAAAACCATATCATCCCTCACGGCTTGGGCAGCCACTGCTTCCAATTTCTTCCATGTTAACTCCCTCTTCTCTTCCAACTCTGTAGCCCTGGCTTCCTTCTCTAAGTACTGCCTTTGACACTCTTGAAACAATTCGGCATCCATCTCCACAAACATCCTCCTCACATTGGCTGTTAGCCCATGCACTGCTCGGTTCCAATGGCTTTTCATGTTATTTTCCAAAGCTTCAAAGATTACTGGCAATATAACATTTCGATTCTGAGATACTATACTTATAATGTGCTCATTGTTCCACAAGTAAAGTGCTCGTTCAGCAACCTGCCATGGATAAACAATAGTCAGAGCGAGCAGTCAAGAGAGAATAAAGAAACATTTTCCTTTACTACTGCCAAAGGGTGAGATTTATCCTTTATCATGATTGAAATTATATAGTTATATAAAATGTAATAAAATCTGACGACCACAATGCAAAACCAATTAAACATCCAAACTCAGAAGGCCCTTGATATTCGTCAGGCCCCCTAATCCAAGGCACCCAATCATCTTACTTATAAAAAGCTTTAATACCATTATCTTAAATAGCATCCCACGAGTGAAAAGGAGGATTCTAAATCTCAGCCAAACTAAGCCACTTAATAGATGCTCAGTATTTTCCCACAGATAAAGAAAAACAAGTTCATCAATATGGTATCAGATATGGCCAATGTAGCCCTTATAAGGCTAGGGTAGTTTTTACCTATCAAGTTGTTTTCATGGGTAAAGTTAGATCCTAAATCCAAACAATAATATGATATCAAAGTCTATCCATATTTGTTTACTCTCTAAATGTCTATTCCTAAGCATGAGGGGATGTTGCTATTGAGCCACCCAAATTTGTCTATGCTCCAAATATCCAATACTGGACATGAGTGTATAAGTTAAAATTTCACATTGACTAGAGATATAGTTAATGTAATCCTTAGGTTCAAACAATTATCACCTTACAAGTTTGTTTTGAAAGGTTGAGTTATACCCCAAACATAAATTTTAATACAATATTAGAATCTATCCTAGATGCATTATTAGGTCACCCCAATTTGTCTCTGTTTTGGACCACCTGCATTTGTCCACACACCATATGCCCAATCCTAAGCATGAGTGGGGTGTGTTGAAATCTCACATCAATCAAAGATATAACCAATGTAGCACTTATAAGATTTGAGTAGCCCTCATCTTACTAATCAATTTTGTTGAATTGAATTAGGCTCTAAGCCCATATTCCAAGTTGATATTACGGTCTATCTTAAAATTGTTATTGGTCCATCCAAATTTGTTCACATTCTAGATGTTAAGTTCTAAGCTGACAAGACCAATGTAATCCTTACATGGGTTGGTCAATCCTAACCTTTCGAGCCGTTTTGTGAGATTAAGTTAGCCATAAAGCTCAAATTCTAAGACATACTATATCCCTTGCCTCTTCCCTTATCACTTTCATGCCATAAATGTATAACTATTTCCACTTTTTCCTCCCAAATTTTCCTCCAATTCAAATGTAAACCCAAGTGGAAGAAATCACCAAAACTTACATTTTATGAGAAGTAACATCTCAAATGAAGTTCAACTTTTCTAAGCCAATAGTGATGATGATGCACAGACATGAAACAAAAAAAGAATGATGCAAATTTTGAATATTTCTCCAACAATCACCTATATGTTTCTACTATGCTAGGATTGTTAAAGTAAACAGACAAAATGCATGATAAATTTCCGGGCCAGAGATTCAGAAGAAAAGGACAGTAGGCAGTGATAATTATCTCACTCAAAGTATATATAGTCAATGAAAGTAAAAAGTATAATATAATCCAGAAGCATTTACCAGTTGAAAAAACAAGTAATCTCAAAAAAGCAAACATTTATGTGAAACTAAAAATGCCATATCCATAAATGCAAGGCATGTAGTATGTTAGAATTTCATATACAAGTTAACTGAATGTGGAAAAGAGACAGACCTGAAAGTGAGGGCTGTTAAGGCAGCGTCCAATTTGCCTGAAAAGAGGCCCTATGCAGCGTATAAACTCAGGAAGCTGAGTAGCCTCAAGAACCTCTTCTAGCTCTCCAAGAAAAAGCACTTCCTTCTGGCAATTCGTGACAGGCCAATACTTCAACATGCCCCTGATCACAGGATCCGCAAGCCTATTGTCCTTCTCAACAAACTGAACCACGCAATAAGACAGTTGCTGGTGATAACAGGAAATACATTTGGGCTTGTGAAGCGGCACGAGAGTCCGAATCAAAAACAGCTTATGTTCCTCTTTCATCGGCAACGCAAAGCCATTGATAATACTCCCCAGAATCTCCAACAACTCAGCAATACCATTATGCCTCGGCGTCTCGAATATAAACCGGTAGAAGACGTTGTTGATGGCTCTCCGAATGAAGGGCCTAAGCACCATGAACTTGCCGTAAATGCGGTGAAGAATGGTCTTCAAAAACTCGCGCTCGCGGAGGTCCTCGGAATCGAACAAGTCAATAAGCTTCAACACAAAGACATGGTCAATGAAGCGCTTCGCAGTCTTGATATCAGTCTCGGGCGCAACAACGTAACGCAAAAGAATTTCGTACACGAGCTGCAAATGGGGCCACGAGGGGTCCAAATATCTTTCATCGTCTTCGGGATCTAAGTCATCGGCGGTGTTAGAGGAGGGAGGTAAGCACCGGAAAATGTTGAGGGAAATCATGTTGATCAAGTCTTCTTGAATATCGGTGAAGCCGAACGCACCGGATTGAATGATTTCGATGAGTTCCTCGAGCGTTTGGCGCTTGACTTCTATATCGTAGCCGTAGTTGAGAGTGTCTGAGAAATCGCATACATAGCAACACACTTGGATTTTGCGGAGGAACAGAGCGGGTTGTTCCGAAACGTCGACGTCTCGCAGTGGCGGGAGTGGTTCGATTTGGGTGGGGTTGGGGAGCGGCGCGGAGGGAGGAGGGGTTTGGGAATCGGAATTGGCGGCGGAGGCGGAGGCGGAGCGAGAGGCGTGTTTGACGACTACTTCGTAAAATTGTTGTCCGGATTCGGGGAATTCCAATTTGGGGCATTTCTTGTGAGCGAGCTTGATGATCTTGTTGAACATTTTGGGTGAATGTGGCGACGATGGTAGCCAAGAAATAGAGGAATTGAAGGTACCCGAAGCCCTAATGGTGCGGCTTCTGGGTTGTATTGACTATTGAGGGAAACGGCGAATCATGAAGCACGTAAACCACGACGAAGCGGAAAATGACTCGCGTCCAAGGCCTTCTTCTTCACTCACATCAATATAATCGTCAAAAACTGCAAATTTACCTGTTTTGTTTCTAAGGCGCCAAAATACCACGCCACGTGGATAAAAGTTTATATACCCCAACGATAAGAGCCTTAAAAACAACTTTAGGTTTAGGTTTAACTGCTCCCCATGAAACTTCACCTTTTATTATTACATTCAAATATGATTTGATTTTTTCTTCATATTATCGCTTTCAATTTTCTTTAATTAAGTCATTCAAAAATATTTTCTTTCATACATAATAAGTCTCCTAACATTAGCATATATTACACTTTGGTTGTTATATATTTATTATTTTTATATTTTGACTGTTATACTTCTACAACTTTTATCTTAGTTCTATACTAAAATAATACTCATTTTAATTTTTACACAAGTAACTTTTTCTTTTCTTTCTAAATTTTGTTCTCTTGTCAAAACCTTTTTTCCTTTCTTTTTTATTTTCCTTTTATCTTGTAAATATATATATTTTTTTAAACACCTTCTTACATAAACTAATTTAAGATTATTTCAAATAAGAAAGTCTTGTTATTGTAAAGTATAAACACACTTAAAAAATAAGATAACATAGTATTGAATAACGACTTATAATGATACTTTTTATAACAGTATAACTTTTACATTGATTTAATTTTGTTATATAAAATACTTGAACTTATGATATATCAAACTTTTATTATATCATTTTAATCTTTTATGCATCATATATTTTAATATGTGTCTTTGTTATATGAATAATTTTAATATTTGTAATTAATTACCTTGTTAGTTAAAAATAATGTAGGAAATCATCCCACTACAAGGAGCGCTAACATAAATTACTATTTAAATGTTACTTTATCTTGAACAAGGACGCATTTAAATTCTACAATTTGAGACTCTTCTATTAAGGATTAATATGATTAGTTGATGCAAGACCACTTACAAGAACCAAAATTTGAGTAAAAAGAGAAAATGAATGTTGATGAAGAAAAAAAAAGAGACAATGGAGATGAAAAGAAGAGGAAATGATTATAGGAGTTAAAATATTAAAAAACAAATTGCTCATATAAAAATTAAAAGTAAAAATAATACAAATATAAGGACTATGACACAACACATGTCGGTGGCATATTAACAAATCCAACAGATTTATGCCAATTGATCTACCATTAATGGTATAATCTTTTTTAAAAAGATAATGTTGTATAAGAAACAAAATTGATGATTTTTAAATATAAAAACTAAAAAATAAAAATTATAGAACATAGAAACCAAATGAGTAATTAAAGCATTCTTTTATTTGAGGAAAAAGTCAAATTATGAATAAATCAATGTTCTTTAATTATATCATATGCCCAGGAAATTCATCCTTAGAATCATAAACTCCATTTTTTAAAATACTTAGGTTGTAAACCGCCATTACGCTAAAAATGAATGCATGTCACAGCGGTTGTAAAGTATTGATCGACCAAGTATTTTTAAAAGTTGCAAAACACAAGCCTCCCTATACGAACTTCCTAACAAAGGATATTATCAATATACCCATTAGCTTGCTGCAACCACTGAATAATTCCAATATATATATATACACACACCGAAGTTACGTGTATGGTTGAAAAGATAATGATAACTTCATTTAATGGAAATATACAAAAAAAAAATTATAGGAATTAAGCATTCAATGAACATTATAAACATCAAATATATAGGAACACAAGCGATTAGGCATATTATAAATTTATACATCATACTTGATATTTTTTATGCACTACTTCCAAAGCTCCACAAAAATACTTCCCGTTGCAAGTGATGTGAGAGCTTAATACCCATACCATACCAATAAAATGCAAATCACTCAATTAGTCAGGTAAGATTTAATACTTCCCGTTGCAAAATGAGATTTAAATCTTGTATAGGAAGAAACTAATGGATGGAATAACTTCATTCCCACAGACACGTGCAAATCACTCAACTAGTCAGAATCACATCTGTCTTCCATCAAAAGCTACCGTGAGTCACCAAAATAAACTCAACAACTCGGGTTTATTCCAGCATATGTTTTAACAAAACCACCAAAAAATTTAATGTTGGAGCATCGGGAAACAATTGACAAATGTTCCTGTGATTCTATGCCAATTTCCAACATAAATTAAATATATACCTAGCATCAATCAACAAATAACAACAGAGAAAAAATACTATTAAAAAGCACTTGAACCCATACAACCACAGAAAAGAACATTGAAACATGACTAAGCATCCAAATTCAGGTAAGCATATTTCTTGACGTTCATGCATAACAAAGCAGAAAGGATTGGTCATTCATCAGATTTGTTTGCAATATTTTAAAGTTAAAACAATAAAAATCAAGTTTCAGCACAAATTTGTACGGATTTACAAAAGAAAGTTTGCCGTTAGTTACAAATGCCCGAGCTGGACTTCCTTCTTTGGCCTATCTAGCACGTTCTAGAAAGAAGCAACTACCATCCACCTTTGTCACCCCCGTCATTTCTCTTGCCCCACGAACCTGCTGCACCGACATACAATTAATCAATAAAAAAGATTATGAATTAATGTGAGAATAAATCTCGTATTTTTAAATTTATATGGGTAAAACATTAGGTCAATTACACTGATTTGTATATTAACTTCTAATAATAATGATTAAAATCAGTAATTCGCAATGTAAACTTTTTCATTTGAAAACTTTTTTTGAAAAACAAAACAGAAAAGAATAGTTGGGCGAAACTATTTTGGGTTCCATAATTTATTCCTTACGGTCAGATTCTTTCCAACTAGATGATTGACCCTTGTCTGCAGCACTTGATTGACCCCAGTTCAGAACTCGTTCTGCAGTTTCACCACCATTCCCTGAAACACCACTGCCCTTCCAACCCGCCTCTTGATTGTCCCAGCCCCTAGAAGTAGTGTTTGAACTAGATCCTTTGTTCCACCCACCGTCCTGAATATTGGTCTCTTCAGTTGTAGTAGATCTTTTCCAGCTAGAAGCATGGACAGCCTCTGTGGCCTGACTTGACCCATTGTTGTTCCAATTATCTTTAGCTCCACCAGTTGTTGAACTCCAGCTCTGCTTATTACTTCCACCTCCCTGGTTCCAAGCCTGAGATCCATTCCCAGTCTCTGTGGCCTGACTTGATCCATTGTTGTTCCAATTATTGTTAGCTCCACCAGTTGTTGAACTCCAGCTCTGTTTATTACTTCCACCTCCCTGGCTCCAAGCCTGAGACCCATTACCAGTTTTCCATCCTTCAGTATTATCCGCACCCTTCTTCCAGTCAGAGGATCCATCCTCACCAGAACCCCCTCTGTTGTTCCAGCCACTAGATTTAGCTCCACCATTTGCTGAACTCCAGCTTTGCCATTGCTTATTACTTCCACCAGCTTGGCTCCAGCTAGGACCTTCCTTATCTTCATTGCCCTGGTTCCAAGCCTCAGATCCATTACTGTTCTTCCAGTCAGAGGACCCATCATCACCAAAATCCCTTCTGTTACTCCAACCACCAGATCCCCGGCCACCACGTCCTCCATCTGATCCCCACCTACCACCGGAACCTTCCCTGTCAGATCTACCTCTACCACCAAAGCCTCCTCGGCCACCAAAGCCTCCACGATCTCCTCTACCACCACGATCTCCCCTGCCCCCACGATCTACCCAGCCCCCACGACCTCCCCTGCCACCACGATCTCCCCGTCCACCAAAGCCCCCACGTTCTCCTCTGCCCCGAAAACCTCTACCTCTAAAGCTACCTCTGTCTGAGCCACCTCTCCAGTTTCCGCCACCATTGGAATTTTCATTTGAACCTTCATTTACGTCATTCAACTTGTCATCACTATTTCCTGTGTTCCAGCTGCTATTGCTTTTCCAACCGGTGTTTTGATTAGTATTGCCAGATCCAGAATGCCAATTACTTTCCTTGCCCAAGTTAGAATCCTGATTTCCAGAATCAGTATGCCCAGAACTCCAACTAGAACTCTTGTTTTCATTCCCAGCATTCCAAGAGGACTTGTTAGGTTTCCAATTACTATTGTTCCCCCAGTTGGAATTTTGATTGGAATCACCAGACCCAGAATTCCAATTGCTATTGTTTGGATCAGAAGCTTGGTTTCCACTTTTTCCGGTGTTCCAATTGCTTTTGTTTCCCTGATTGGAATCTTGATTTCCAGAATCAGTATGCCCAGAACTCCAGGTGGAATTCATGTTTTCATTTCCAGCACCCCAAGAGGATTTGTTAGAGTTCCAGTTGCCGTTGTTTCCCCTGTTGGTGTTTTCATTGGAATTACCAGATCCAGAATTCCAATTGCTCTTATTTGGATCAGAAGCCTGGTTTCCACTGTTTCCAGTGTTCCAATTGCTTTTCTTTCCCTGATTGGAATCTTGATTTCCAGAATCAGTATGCCCAGAACTCCAGGTGGAATTCTTGTTTTCATTTCCAGCACCCCAAGAGGATTTGTTAGAGTTCCAGTTGCCATTGTTTCCCCTGTTGGAGTTTTCATTGGAATTACCAGATCCAGAATTCCAATTGCTATTATTTGGATCAGAAGCCTGGTTTCCACTGTTTCCAGTGTTCCAATTGCTTTCCTTTTCCTGATTGGAATCTTGATTTCCAGAATCAGTATGCCCAGAACTCCAGGTGGAATTCTTGTTTTCATTTCCAGCACCCCAAGAGGATTTGTTAGAGTTCCAGTTGCCATTGTTTCCCCTGTTGGAGATTTCATTGGAATTACCAGATCCAGAATTCCAGTTGCTATTATTTGGATCAGAAGCCTGGTTTCCACTGTTTCCAGTGTTCCAACTGTTTTTCTTATCTGAGTTGGAATTTTGATTTTCAGGCTCAGTATTCCCAGAACTCCAGCGAGAATTCTGGTTGCCATTCGCATTGCCAGATTTCCAAGTACCCCAATTTGTAGGTTGACTGCACCCTGCAGCCAAACCATCTGAAGCTTTTCCTGAATCATTCCAACCAGATGACTCACTCACCTCCTTATTTGGTTTGTTTTTCCATAGAGTTGCATCCTGATTAGCATCAATATCTGAATTACCAGATGGGTTTCCAACTTCTTTGACTCCACTTGTTCCAGACTTCCAGCCACTCCAAGTAGATTTCTTGTTTCCTTCATCTGATCCACTTTTAAAACTGTTGCCATCACCCCATCCAGTCGATGAAGTTGCATTTGACTTTTGGACAGTGTTCCAACCAGAAGACTCCTTTTCAGAAGACTTGGTTGTATTCCAACTGCTATTCTGATTATCATCACCCACACTACCAGTTTTCTGCTCTGCCTGACCCCAGCTGCTCCAGCCACCAGACTGATCTGGATCAGAAGAAATTCCGGTTTTCACTGCAGCACCCCATGAGGAGCTCTGATTTGAACTACTAATTTCCCAAGCAGTTTCTTCTGCACCTACACATTACAACAGAATTAAGGCAAATAGTGAATTAGTTATCTAGAAGCGAAGACATGCTAAACATATCTGCACTGCAATGTTTACCATTGGAACTGGAGGGATTCAAGGTAGAGTCTGGTTTCTGCAAAAACCGAAATACGTCAGAATATTAAATTAAAATGCAGTAAAATCATAAATATAAAAAACAACTGGCAGTACATGTCTACATATTAAAATTAAATGCATTAAAATCATAAATATAAAAAGGAACTGGATGTACATGGGTATATTTGCATCTATTTTATATCAAGGGTGGTTAGACCATGCACAGGCACGAGAGGGTGATAGGATAGCTGGGAACAGAAGAAGACACACACACACTTAAAGGGTGTAATGCAATACATACCAAGACGCTTGGTGCAGAATTATTAGTCCATGCATTCCTGTAAAATGTTATGAAAACATAAAAAGGGTAAGTACCTTGAGATTAAAAACTATTCATTAATAAGAAAAAAGAAACAACTGGGTATTTGCAATTTTAAATTATCTGCCAATGTTTTAAACATAATATAAGATGATGTCAATACAATAAAAGTCTAATCCCTTAATATACCAATTAGATACAGTTTTTAAAAATGCAACAATCCAAATCAGAGGAACATTTGGAGAATGAAACAGCATATATAAAGATGGGCACAACACCCAAATCTGCATAACATGGTTATGCCTTCAGGGATTTAATATTTCATAGCCACACTTGCATAAGTCAATTTACCATTATTCATAATTATTGGGCATAAATATGCCTTTGCTGCACTATCAACAGTGTCATACTTTTGTTTGCACCAATGCGCTATAGCCATGAGTTAAATATTCCCAATTTTCACAAATTTCTAGATAACTGAACAATATTTGCACATTATTAGAACCTTCCAATTGATTGATGGCTAAACCCATCATGCAAAATTAGCAGGGATATATGTTAGTTGAATATAATATAGCTAATTGAGTATAGAACATTTGAAAATAAAGTAGATTAACTAATATCATTATGAAATATACCCTTCAGAAGACGCCCCACCAGAATTCCAGCCACCACCCCCAGTAGATGTTCCCACTCCAATATTCCAACCTTTCAATTATCAAGATACATGTCTCAATAAAACATTAAGGGCAAACAGAGCACAGGAAAGGTAACTACCAAGCATGTTAATTGTTACTGTAATCCAATTAATAGGGAAACTTTAATTTGTAAGGATAAGATAATAGAAAATAGAGAATAACAGTTTCTCACCTCCAGAGTTGCCTTCAGTACCCAGCAGATCAAATGGCTTGGATGAACTTGAATCAGGATCACCACTGATATAAGAAACATTGAGAAATTCATGACAATATTCACAGGCACGATCAAAGCAAATCAGTAAGTAGTAGTTGAAAGCAAAATTATAGACAATGCCAAAAATACCTTGTTGAAATGGCAGTACTTTTCGCCTGAACCTCAGAAAGGTGCTCACATTTAACTGTGAAAACAATTTTGTAGAAATTGTTCTAAATACTGATCTAAAACATCAAAAAACAGTACTCAAAAGTTGACTGTCATAAACAAACCTGTAAGAACCTTCTGCTGAGAATCTAGTTTCACAGTAACATCAGAGCGACGCAAGCCAATGACACGGCAAAGGTATCCCTTCAAAGGACCTATCCTAATCCTCAAGCTCTGACCAATAGTGAACATGTTATTGTTGTCCCCCCGGTTGACTGCATGCACAATTATCGTATTATGAAAAATTAAGAAATATGCATATCCACAGCTAAAAGACTTGTCAAGGAATCGTGTATGTTTACGTACATTCACGATTATTTTCTCTTGCTTGCCATGGTTTTTTGGGTGACAGGGGAGATCTTGGTGATGATGGTTGGTCTTCAAAGATTAAAGGACCCGGTTCACTATCCTGAGCATGGAGCAGAATGAAAAACATCAAAAAATCAACTTAAGTCGTCAAACAGTTTATAACAGAGCGGGATATTATAAAGGATTTCAAACCTTTCCACTACAATCACCAACAGCAAGCTTGACCTTCTCACACACATTAGATTTACAAGTGAAATAACCTCCATGTTCTTCCTCATTTCCATCATATAAAAAGACAATCCCTCTATAAATGTGCTTGACAATTCCTTGTTTACCCTGCAAAATGACATAATAGATAAGATATCATGTGAAGCATGAAAGATTCCAAATATACCACAACGAAAAACCTGCTCATTCAGAGATAACAGACCTTAGATGGACCCTCCAGAACCTTGACAGTATCATTAACCAATATAGTCTTACAGTGTTGATCTAGGGCAGTAAGTTTCAAATCAAATAGCCCACTCTTTATTTCTTGGCGTTCAATAGTTACAGCAACAGGTCCATCTGAACTATCTTTAAGAATCTATTAGGCAGGGAAATTAGAACAGAACTTCCATTAAACAACAGGTACTCGATCAAAAAGCTTGGAACGAATGACATTGTATAAGCTGAATCCTGTACCTTGTAAATATCATCTTTCTCCATGCCTACTATTACACCGAAATCCTTCTTACTGCAATGACAAAGATTTGTCAGGAAGGAAAACATGTGTAGGAACATACAGGCTCACACATGTGAATTGCATCTGTATGTTTGCCCGTGTTTGAGCGTGTACAGGTGCATGCACACACAAGAGAAATAATATATACAATACCATGTGTACTGCAATGGTAAAGATTTCAGCAAGTACATATGTGCATGGACGTAGATGTGCGTGCAGCAGATGAATCATGTGTATCCATTTTTGTGCATGCTTGTGTGGGTGTGGGTGTGCACGCATGCATGAGAGAAATAATTCATGTTACCATTAATTCTAGCTACGTAAACATGGACTTACCCAAAACATACTAAATCATAAAGCTCAAAACCATTTACCACACCAGAACCAGATGAACTCTCTCCTTTCCCACCTCCCTTATCAGCTCTTGTAACCCGTTTTTTCTTTTTATCACCATAAAGCTGAGAGAGCCACTCCAAATCATTTGATTCACTGTTTTCAGAAGGTCCAAACTTTAATAGCTCCTCTTCTGTTGGCACAACACCCCATAAACTTAATGAATCCGGAGATACTTTTTTGTATACATATCCATCCTTGAGCATCAAACCATCTAAAACCTCAAAAACCTTGCCAGTATCACGGTCACGTTTGACTTGTATGAGTGGTCGGAACTCCCTACATATTTATTAAAAAATAATCACATTAGAACTATCCAGAAAAAAAAAAAAACGAGATATGAGAATATGTATTATTACTCAAGTTCACTCGAGCTGATTAATCTTGGTGGCGGTACAGCAAACTTTTGGCGACTATATCCTCCACCCTATAAAATGAGTGAAAAGATGAATAAAAAATTATTCCAAATATATCTTGTACATAGCCATAGGATAAGAACTAGAAAATCAAAAGAGCAAACAACAGAAAAAGGAGTTTGCTCCCCTCTCAAAACAGTCAAAATTAGTTTTTCTATCCTTATCTCCCTGCTCTCCATTTCCACTCAAACAAACAGTGTATGAGTACTTTTTATGCTTCACTCCAGAACAGAGACAACAGACAAATCACAACCAGTTACACAAGTCCATTTTCACTTCATGGTGACTTACAACCATAAGTTTACATTCACTTCACGATTTCACAATACATCATATTGCAACGTTAAAATTGAATCACAGTTCCAGAACAACTGGAAAAAAGATGACAATTGTCATACTGTTGAATAAATGAAATGTTGAAACAAACTGTTGCAAATTAAACCCAAAGAATGGGAGACTAATAAAGTGGTTCCTCTCCAAAGAATGGGAGACTAATAAATTAAATCCAAAGCACTATTCTCTATCACACGGCAGCAGGATCGTAAGATCACTAGATTGCAACTTTAACTTTTAACAACATTCCATGGCAAAACAAATATAGTACAAGAAGATACCAAATGGAAACTAAAGGAAAACCAGCATCATCAAAGCAAATATATGAACTGACAAATTAAAAAATATATATAAGAAAAAATCATGTGGGCATAAGTCTTAATACAAGTGTTGGGAAAGTGGGCATAAGTCTTATTACAAATTTGGCAGCCAGTGCTTGCAGATCAATTCTTGGAATAAGCTTCACTGTAACTTTTTTGCGTGTATTATTCACAGCCACAACCTAGAAAAACACGATAGATAAAAGGAATAAATTTTTCACAAGTTTGATAGCAAAATTAAACACAAAAATTACTTGTGCAATCATGAAGTACCTGTGCTAAGTCCCCCTTGTAATTACCACCTTTGATACGAACCCACATGCCCTCAGAAATTTCAGGGCTTCTACTTCGAACAGTGAACAGATGACAAACCTCACTATTTGGTACGGGTGCCACTCGGGTAACATAGATACCAGGAATCCCTTGACATGCCTGAAATCGTGCATTAGTAACAAATGAAAATAGATTTGGTCAGTGGTAGAAAATTTTCACTAGAAAATACTAAGGTTTTCCAAAACGGAAAGCAACAGCCAATGTGCTGCAGCAACCACATTTGTATGTAATTTCACACTATATCAAGGAAGGCGGACTCCAAACCTTGGAAAATGCTACGCAAAAAAAAATGAACGACCAAAATACCCAGTACGTGGTTACCTCATTTATATCATACTGCTTGTCAGCTTCAATGAAAACAAATCCTTTCATATGATCTACAGCAAATGCAGATTTTATCTTCAATGTAGTACCCAGTGAATTCAAGTCAGCAAACTTCTGCATCAGAGAAAAAGCTGAAAGCCTCTCACGGCCAACCTGCATGACAGCAAAAAAGATCCTAAAGAAACTTAACGGCATCGCTTGGAATTTGAATTAGCAAAATCATAAATCCATGTTTCAGGTATCATACAGTGCATTTGACTTTCCAGATGTTTGGAACTAATTCCTTGACACCATCATGCATAGAAGTTGGATCGATTACTTTGTCATCAAAATCATCAGCAAACCTGATAAACCTAGATGGATCTCCGAAGCGCTCCTCCAATAACCTATCAAACTCTTCTTCGTCCACCAATTCCTCTTTAGGGACAAATGGGAGACTACTCTGGCCCTTAGCTGGCTCGTTCATCATTCTTTGCACGGCATCAAAATCATCGTCAAAAAAATCTGTTCATACATATTTCAAAAATGCTAAGTAACGTGAACGGCACCCCAGGAAATTCCGGCGATATAAAATGAACTCGAAAGCCATAAAATCGGAAAGAACTCAAGCATTTCTCATTAATGTTGTAGACACAATAAACAATTATGAAACATCTAGAACACACAATGACAGAAAATAGAACGAAACACATAATCGTTGCCGAAACCCTAACAATTATCACGAGAGCGAGACAATCGATGAAACGTAAAAGCAGGAAATGGAGTGAGAAGAGAATCGGATTGTATACCATCGGCGAAATCGCTGTCGTCGCTGAAATCGCTCTCTTCGCTCTCTTCAACGTAAGCGGCGTCCTCAAAAAACTGAAGGACTCCTCGGCTGTTTCTCTTGCGGCCGCCGCCGGTCTTGTCATCGTCGTAGCCGCGCTTGCGCTTTTCCGCCGACGCTTTTCCGGCAACCTCCTTGCCCTTTCCCTTCCCCTTGTTCGTCATTTCCAGAGAAAATGCTACGAGACCAACGCCAATTGCATGCTCAGAGACCGAAAGAGAGGAAGAAGTGAGTGAATGCAGTCATTGGAGTGTGTAACTGAAGAGAGAGGAATCAGAAATTAATTTATCGAAGAAAATTGGGGGGTTTAGATCCTCTACATTTATGGCATAAATTGCATTAGATCTCAGTCATTTCTTTTTAGCTTTCTATTTGATGATGACGATGACTTTGATTTTAACATATGGATTAACGGTGAGATTAGTGTTTCTAGGGTGCAGTTCAAGTTCAAAATGCAGGAGATCAACTTCCAAACTTGGGAATCTGCCACCTTGGCGGTACGGTTACCAGGCTTTCGAGAGAATCCGGGCCAGCCCAAAAACACAGCCCATGTTTACATTATTTTTTTAAATAACAGCCCGTGTTTACTTAGGCAAGCATTTTGTTAAAAATATATATATATATTTTTTTTTATTTTATAAATTTAATCTTTATCCTTACTTTTTAGTGGAAAGACAATGTAGACGTAGTATGATAGGAGAGTGATAAGAAAAGGAGGTAAAAAATTGAATAAAAAATGGTGAATTGCACTTGTTAATCAAGTAATCAGAATAACAAATGAGAAAAGTAAAATCAATTATAAACTTACAATGCGCGGTTAAATGGTAAAATAGGTAAAAAGAAAATATAAACTAAAATAAGAATTAAGAAAGACTATACAATCAAATATTTTTTTGGTTTAATTACCTTTTGTACTATATAATTTTATAAATTTTTTATTAAATATAATTTTAGTCTATGAACTTTTATCAATTTTTATTTTTAGTTGCTAAACAAAATTTATTTAATTTTAATTTCTGAAATTTTTTCATAAACAAAAGTATTTGACATCGGAGACCAAAATGTTGACAGGAGAAAAAACTCGAGCACTAGAAATAAAAATCAACAAAAGTGGAAATAAAATTCGTGAAAAAATTATTCAAAAATTTAAAATAAAATTTGACAAAAATTAAAGAACTAAAAATATATATAATTCTATAAATTTTATGTTTTAATTTCTATAATTTTATTTTATTCTATAGTTGAAAAAAAATATTTTATAGTTATGTACTAAAAATTTACTAATAGAAAAACTCTTTAAAAAGACTCCTAAATATATAATTTAACATGTTCAGGGTCTCTCAGGCATCGGGCCTGAGAAGGCCGTGAAATGTGAGTGCTTGGATCTGTTGCCTTTTCTACAACCATATGGTCCAACAATAAATTATTAAAAGAAAAGGCTAGAGCTTGTGAGACTAATTAAATAACTACATTATTTCCTATGACAAAAAAATGTTGCGTCTAAGAACTGAATTTCGAACACTTCCGTGTAAGGAAACAATGAATGGTTTGTTATAGGCACACATTAAGCAGAAAATTTTGAGGAAACAATTTACGATCTATCCTCATTGGTTTGTACTTTCATAGCTCAGTGTACATGTGACTATGTTCACAAACTGACTTTTAAGTTTTAGCAACCATGAAATGACTCTTCACACATTGAATTAGTTGGATATATTTTAATAAGGAAATAAATATTTAATTTTATTCAACCATTTTATTTTTTTTCTAATTAATAGGTGCGATTTCAAAATCAAATTAAATTCAATCTAATTTCATTTAATTTAAACTTTCAAAAAATATTATAAATATTAAAATAAAATAAATAAACTAATTTAACATCAATATAACATAAAAAATAGATTATTTTTAAAATGAAAATAAAAGTGGGAAATTAATAAAATAAAAAAAAGTTATATACTATACTAACTATTTAATGTTAAAATGAATGAATTGATTTAGCATCTTTGCCTATTTTATCTCTAAATTGTTTTCACCATTGTTATTTTTAGGAAAGTTTTGTTGCACATATTACACGAAAAAACATGTTTCCATTTTTTAAAGAAACAACTCAAAGATAATGTGACTTTGACAAAATACAGGAAGGGGGCGAAACTGAAAAAAAATTTCTATCCGAATCTTTTCAAAAAAAAATATTTAAATTTCATTTTTAATTCATCTATTTTCATTAATTTGTAATTTTGGACATCTATTTTAAAATAAAGATACATCATATCTTTATTTTAAAAAAATTATAAAATTTTGATCCTCCTATTAAATTTAACTAATATTTTTTTTTATTTTGATATGTCATGTCATTTTAATGATAATATATTACTAATGTCTAAAATGAACAATTAACAAATATTAAATTGATTATAGAATTAAAATTCTGTATTTTTAAAAATAGAAAGAATAAATATCTCTATTTTTAAAAAATACCAAAATTTTGAATGTAGAAAAATACCAAATTTGTGAATCAATTAAAATAGATAAACCAAAAGTATAGTTTTACTTATTTTTTAATATTTCCATGTGTTTATTGGTTTTTAAAAATTTTAGAGGATATATTAAATTAGAATTTCAAAAGATTTAAAAAAATTATTATAAAAAAGTTTAGTGTATTCAGTCGAGACTTTTTAATATAAAGATGTAACATTTTATTCAATTAAGATAATTAAATTTTTTTAAAAATACATCAAAATCTGATAATATTTAATTAAGAAGATTAAGATTTTTTTCTACTTAAAAAAATCTGTTAGTATTAAAAAAACATGAAGATTTTAATGAATTATTTTGATAGATGGATTTCATAAGATATTTTAGTAAAATTTACATATAATTCACTTATTTAATAATCTCACAAAAATTATTGAAATTTTGTATAATTTTTTTCTCATTTATTCCTTTTTTTTTTCTTCCTCTGTTTTGCTTCTCTCTCGGTATAAATATAAAAACCTTTACATTGGACTATAATTCCTGCCACTACATGTAGTTACTATTATTAAATTTAAGTAATACAAGTGAGAAACAATCTTAATTCTGTTATGAAAAAAACTTAGGTTTAGATTCGTAAGTGAAGTTGGTTATTCTCTTATTAGAGTTTGAAATTTTATCTGAATATTATGTAAGTATATTTAATTCAGATTTTTTTTTAATTTTATCTTGATATAATATAATTATTACATTTAATATAAATCTCAACATATTATTAAAGTAAAACTTAAACTGAATAACAATACTAATCACACTAAACAAATGTTTCTCAAGTTTTATTTTTTTATCTAACTAAAATCAGACTGGTTTCATCCATCACGTGGATCAACAGTGCGAAGTACTCGTGAAATGCATAACCTAGTTGCATAAGTATAATATATGCCGTTGAAAAAAATAATAAACTACAGTATCAAATCTTAATTACACGAAAGATAATTTTTTTTTGTCAATTCAATTTGAAACACTTGATATCCCATTTATTTTAAGAGTTAATCATCCACTGTGTATACTTTTTTACATCAATAACCAATCATATCTTTTAAATTTTTTTATTTTATTATTATTTTATTAAATAAATAATTAACATGTGATTATTAAAAAATATGATCTTACACTCACCGTGTTACTTCTATTATCGATTTGTATTTGTGAGTCTCTGACATGCAATAAAGGCAAATCAACTCAGCGGGGCACGGAAACATAACGTGGAAGAAAGTGCTGTACGTATTTATATACAGCCAACATTAATAACATTTTAATTTGGATTCCCCGAAATTATGAGTAAAAGACGGGTAGTGGTAAAATAAAAAAGTGGTCCTAACTATAGTTTCTTTCCATTTTTTCTATCATGATGATTAATGCAAGAAATAAAAGCTTGACTAACTTTTATTCTGGTTTCTCGTCGATGTCGTAGTGGCTGGGGAATTGATGAATATGTAACTGACACAGTGACCTGTTGTTTAACCTCTCTGGCCGCCGTTTTGGACCACCGCAATCTCATCATCTTCGTGTCGATATCTCTTGTATATATCACCTTTATAGAACTTAATTGTTCTTGCCACCAAAATGAGTGAAATTATGGCACCAAAAAAGGTCGCTGCAGTGATAATAATAAAAGACAACTTGAAACAAGTGGCCCCAAGACAGTCCAATTCCTTCCCACTCGCTCTCGAGATCCCCGCCGAAGCCAATTGTCTCAAAGCTTCCTTGTCATACAAGTGCCCCGTCACCCTCACGTTAAGCACGTAAAGCCCAATTGGGCTCGCCACACCGCCGAAGTTGTACAACGTGGAGTAGTACTTGAGCCCAAACAGTTCAGAAATTATAGCAAACACCAAGGGCCATTGCGCGCCAAAACAGAAGCCAATGATCACCGAGGCCACGTAGAGCCCGTTAGGCACGTCAAAGGCTATGAGAAGGTGACCGACACAGGATAAGAGGAGGATTAGCGTGAGCATGAGTGGTCGAGGAAACTTGTACTTTTGAAGAAAGTGTTCAGAAACAAACCCCGAAAAAACCCGCCCCAGATAGTTCCAAATGCTCACCAACGACACAAACGTGCTTATGCTAGACTTGGGGTACCCTAGTGCGGTACCAATCTGATTAAGGTTATCAATCGCGGTCAAAGTGCCTCCAACACCACATGTGCCTGCGAAGAATACAAGTATCATGTCCAAGCTGAAAAGTGCTTGGAGTATAGTATAGTCCTCCCCTCTAGGCGGTGGAGTAAACACTTTCTGCCACCATCTAGTTTCTTCAACTTCAACTTCAACCCTCGTAGTTGCAGTTGCAGACTCTACTAACTCTCTTTCAGCTACTACCTTCACCGGGGAGGGGTCAGCGAATGCCAGCTTACGAATCTCCCTCGTCTTATATTGTTCAACAAAAACAACAGCGAGAGGGAGGAAGAGCAGAAAAAGCACAACGCCAGCACTTAGTCCATATTCACTCTGGGAGAAATTCGCCTTCTTCTGAACGAGGGTCATGACAAGGAGAAAGCCAGCGAGGCCAAGTGAGATATACAAAAACTTGTAGAAAACACTAAGCTCGTTAGGTTGTCGAAGCGGCTTCATGTAGCGAATGGTTCTGAGGAAAAGAAAGGAAATAGCGGCTGGAAGCCAAGCTATGAGGAGAATCAAAGACCTGGAATCGTTGTAGTAAAAGGCGAAGTAGAGTTGCGTTATGATGGCTCCGCTCAGACCAACGTAGCCTTTGAGGATTCCCAAGACCACCCCGCGACTCTCGGGGAAGTTCTTGACGCACGTGACTAAGGAACCGGTGTTGGCGAAGGATTGAGAGTTGGCGCCAATGCAGATGTAGAGGCACATGTGCCACACGTGGGGTTTGGGGATTCTTTTGGTGACGGCGAGCCATATCATGAAGTAGCCGAAGAAGTTGAGGAGTGAGCCCATGGCGAGGACCACCCACGGCGGAGTTATCTCGTTGATGAGGCCGGAGAGAACGCCGACATTGCCGCCCAAGTCTTTGAAGAAACTCAGGAGGTTGAGGGTGGTTTGGTCGTAGGCGAGGGCCGATTTTATGTCGCCGGAGTAGAGGCTGAACATGTAGGTGGCGCCGGCCGCCGCCATGATTAGGAACGACGCGAACACCACGAACCACCGCCCCGTTATCACTTCGACCATCAGACCCTTCGTGTCGAACATGCTTGCAACCGCCATGTTTTCAAGACTTGAGCAACTTGCAACTTGCAAGTGCCAGTTAATAATAGTCTATCTTATCACTTTTCTCTTTCAAGGTGTATTTTGGCACTTACAGTAGAGTGTTCAAGACATGTTTTCCATTTATATAGATGGCGTTATGGGAATGGATTTGAAATCATGTGTGGTTATAATAAGAGAAGAGAGAGAGGCGCTACAATGACACATCATGACAAGACGTTCTTTCACGGTGTCCTAAGATAGAACGTGTTAAATTGTTATTGGGAAGCACCGGCAAAGTTTAGGTAATTATTATTCATTAAAAAGGAAATAAAATGTGCTTCTTCCCATCTCCAAAAGATCTTAGTCGTAAAAAACAAAGTATTAAGCCTGCTAATATATAAAGTTTTCAACTTTAACATCAATGTATGTAAATTAATGAGAAGTTTAATTAGCTTATTTTACTAAATAATAAAAATGTTGGAACCAAAAAAAGAAGAAGAAAATATACTTGAAGTAGCGTTTGGAAGATGCATGATTGTTTCAAGGCTCCCAAGAATTCTAGGTTTGAAAGATTAAATTTCTATATTTGTACAACAATTTTTTTTTGGTACTGTTTTATTTCTTTTATAATTATATCCCATTCTTTAAAAATATTTGGACATGTTAAATTTATTTATGATATTTCAACAAAATATATATGATTCATAAAAAAACATAATATTCAGGGATGAGAAAAAAATGTATAAATAAAGCCCACTTAGAAAAATACTAAAAAAATAAAAAGTATAAAATTGTTATTTGTCTTATTCTGTAATTTTGATTTCTCTTTATGTACAAAAAGTTATACAATGTTAATGTATAAAAATTATTTCTCGCACTCTAGGGGGATGGAGCTCCTCTATCCGTGGAGCTTTCATGACACAAAATTTCCAAGTGACGACACGTAAGTCAACGAGGGGCCAAGCTTTTAGCCTAACCTTTCCAAAATGGCAAAATCCAGTGTGTACATCGCAAATGCGCGGGACCTACACGGTTCTTTTAAAAGTATTTTTAATTTTATTTTGTCCCTTTCATTTTTTAATTTCGTGAATTTTATTTTTGTTCCTTTGTAGAGTTGTTTGATATTTGGAAGAGTTCATGGGATAAAGCGTGTGAAGATAAAATGATAAATGATACATGAATGAAACACAAGTATTATAAATTTATAATGGGCAGCTAATGACAAAGCACCCAAAACACACTTCCTTTTATTTTATCCATTGCACCTTTTATATTCATCGAAATAAGGAGTTTCTGATCATATGCAATAAACATGAACCAAGTCTGTGTTTTTTGTAGCATGAATATATGATTTTGGAAGGTTTTACAGCTGTCATTTGTGGAGGCATTAAGCATCAATAATTGTTTTAAAGTAGTGGTGATTGAATGAATGCAGTATCTTTTTGAATTTGTTGCTCCATGTTTTTCAAAGTACGTAGCTACTAGCTAGACATAGGATTGTATGGGAAGATGTAATTCAAGAAGGAACATCACTGTTAAACATATGTTGTTAAGGTTGGGGAAAGTCAAAAAGAAAGTCATGACAAATTCTGGTGAATGAAGAACTTCGAGCAAAAAATATTGAGAAATTCTATGGTACCCATCTTATTTGAGAGGGTATCTGTACAGTTTTTTATATTTATATTTTAAATAATTTATTTAAATAATATTTATAATATTTTATTTTTTCAATTTTTAAATTATTTATTCATTTTATTTTTATTTTATATATTCTAATTTATTTGTAATAATATTATTATATATTTAAATAGTTTAATTTTAATAATTTTTCAAGTATATTTTTATCTTTTCTTTATAATATTATTGAAATCTTATAATTTTAATCTCTATAATTTTATCTTACTTTTTATTTTATAAGTATAATTTGGATTATTCATTTTATAATTAAATTAATTTTTTTTTTAATTTTTTATAAATTTACATAGAAAAATATATTGAAACCCCTCGATCTTTGAGAGTACCGTAGCGACTCCCAAAAATATTAAGGATAAACTTTAAGTTTCGTGGATTCAACTACGGAATGAATATCTTTTGGGTTTAACTTTGAATTTGCATTTTATCTCGCATGATGATGAATTGATGATGTAGAAATTAGATACTATTTGATAAAAAAACAATAACATTTGTAGTTTGCCTCACACAAAAGTTTAAATTTTTTTATTTCCTTAATCAAAATTTATTTTGTGTCCACTTTTCTTTTTTTTAAGTACATCCACATTCCATAACGTCATGTAAGACAAATAAGAGACGTCATATTGACATACCATCATCTTTATTAATTAATTAATTAAGATTAATTATATCTAAAAAATTAAAATTTGACCAAATTTGCGAGATGATAATAATAAGACTAATGAAGTTATTAGTTAGACATACTATTTTTTTTTTTTTTTTGAGAAATATCAAAAACACAATCACTTAACATAAATAAGTAAATAAAAAAATAAATAACCACTCCGACGTGTCAAATCAAATTATCATTTCCGTAAAGTTTGGCATAAAGCTAATAGCTAACCCACGTAATAAAATTAAAATAACGATGGATTAAATTAAGAAAAATAGAGATCAAGATTTACAAATAATAAATGAAGAAGAACAAATTCACAAAATTGAAGAAAAAAAAAACTACGAGTGCTTATTTTTCAATTTGATCCAAGTAACTAAATTATTCATATCAAATTTAACTTTTTCTTCGATAAAGTTTGACCCAAACTAATTTTTTTAATATATATATTTTTTTTATATATATATATATATATATATATATATATATATATATATATATATATTACAATGACGATAACTAGTATTTTATCTGAACTAAATTAATAAAACCCAACTTTTATTGCTTAAGGCAGTATATTTACAATCCATCGTTTGAACACCCAATCTCATGATCTCGTTGTTATTATTTTCTTTTAATTAACTATAAACTCTAAATATTTACATGTTCTTAAATGTCTGTTTTTATTTTATTTTATTTCTTATTTGGGCATGCCAGAAGGGGCTGGACCGCAAATTTTCGTTCTATTGATATGACAGAAATGCTATTCTTTTTCTTTTATTTTATTTTAATATTATTATTTTTATTTACTGAGGCTGTAAAACATCCCTAAACGCCCCTATTGCCATGCAAGAGATGTGAACAGAATTTATTAATTTTCGATGCATGACGTGAACCGATTTTTTTAATTAATTAAATTAATTAATTGATAAACCTTAATATTTTTACAAAACTGTTAAAAATATAATTATATAGAAAAATTTTGTATATATTAGTTATACTGAGCTTATAATTTATAACATGATGCTTACTTCCTAAAATCACATCACTATCACGATGAGGTGGGTATTATCTAATCTAACTCGTTATATCAATTTTTCTTTATTCGACTCATTGTGTAGTAGTAGTAGTATCATTTAACACTTACACATGACTAATTAATTTTCTGACATTGGAGATGCACAATGGTTACCGAGGTCATATTTGACTTTTTTAGAGTTATGTATGTGTGTATGTCTAACTTGTTATTCTTTTTAAGGAGGGATACTAGTAGAAAATTAGCATATTACGTCACCCCTTTTACGTCAAAAATACGAAAATTCGACGTAAAAAAAATGCGGTGGCATTTTTGTAATTTTTGCGAACTATTTTACGTCGGATCCTACCAGGTCCGACGTAAAAAAGGACGCAAATTTGAATAAGAGAGCGCTAGGCACACCGCGCCCATTCACTCTTCATCACTTTTCATTTTTTTCTCTCTAAACCCTCTCCCTCTCCTTTGTTACTGAATCGTTTTTTTGTCTTTTGCAGAGGGATGAACTCTTTGTTACTCATTTGCACATTGTTGTTGCTTCTCAGGTATGAATCAAGGTTTCGTTAGCACTTTTCTACTTCGCATTGCTACTCTGACTATGTGTTTTATTTGATTTTTTGGTTGTTCTATTCGCATCGCTACTTTTGGCATTTTTATGTTTATTTTTTATTTTTTTTCCTACTTTTTTACATCGGATGTCTTAATGGCCGACGTAAATTTACGTCGGTTTTGAAGATCCGACGTAAAATTTACGTCTCCCGCTTCTACGTCGGTACATTTTCTGACGTAAAAAGCTAAAAATGTCCGACGTAATACACCTCATTTGTACTAGAATTTGTATAAAAGATTTAAATTATGACATATCAATATTTTAATTATTTGTTATTAAGGGGCCCAATACTCAATTATCTATACTAATAACTTTTTTTAATGAATTAAATTCTACCTCTTACATTTTTCTAGATAATTAACCATTAATTACTCAAAACATGAGTTGTTTTTACATTATTATAAATTTTTTCTTCTGAATTTTACATTGTTATATTTTTATTATTAAATTAATTCACTCGAACTTTTTTATATAATGGTCACGCTTATAAATTTATTTTTTTAAAAATAAACAAGATTAACTCATTCCATTCATAATTTCCTACAAAATATACAACATGGTTTCATCTATTATTTGAACCTGCAACCATGACAATTGTAGAATTAAAAAAAAACAAATTATAAATTAGATATTATAAAAGAACTAAAAATATAATTTATGTTAAATTATGTTTTAGATTTGTGATAAATAATTTATTGTGTGTCATGAGATTATTTTTAATTAATAAAAAAAAATTAAAAACAATTTTAATTTAAAATATTATAAAAGGCAAATTTAAATAAATAAAAGTTATTATTGACATGATTAAAAAGGTTATGTTGTTAATATATATATATA